TGTTCCGGCATCAAGAGCGGGGCGCTGCGAAATGTCACTTGAAACCTGGGTCGAATTGCAAACCCGTGCAGCTGCAACACTCAGCAGCGCAGCTATAATGGTACTCCGGGTTACCAAGCTAATTCCGGAATACAGAGAACATACGGTATTTTATTTGAGCCATTCGTGGCTTTCTGTCCTTGTCTGAGTTCTTTTCGCAAGATACATTAAGCGGCCGGACTTTCAATAAAGTTTTCAGTATACACAGGGTGGACGAAAACAAAGTGAACCGATTTTTGACTTTAAATAGCTCAGTAGCAAATTGAGCTGTGGCAATTAAAAAATACCAAATGAAACCTTGTTCAATTATATTTCAAATGGTATGCACTTTTATGGTCCCAAGTGCCACAGAATGGTCACTAAACCATTTGAATGTAAACTTTCAACAAGAAAAAGTTGTCAGGTGACTTTTCCACTAAGCTGCTGTTCTGGAGAGCTGTTTGCACCAATAAAGGAAATGCATGATGCAATAATATATTCAGCAAACTTCATGCTGTCTTGAAGAGCCTAAACAATTTTGAGCTATTTAAAGTCAAAAATCGGTTCACTTTTTGGGCCCACCCTGTATATATCGAACGTCGGTTTATTTCCAATAATAAGTTATTCACTATATAGGGATGGTTTATAGGTATGGGGATAAAAAAATTAAATTAATGGTCAAGGAGGAAGATTGTGAAAAAGTACATGCATATTACTGTCCTTTTTTCCAAATCGAGTGCCGTCATCTTCGACACCTGGTCAGTTTTATTAGACTTGAGAGGATACGATACACGCACAGACGCGCGATTCGGATTCTGGCATGAAATTTGAATAATTTCAGCGTTAGCTACTCAATAGATCGACCAGACTTAATAAATTCCAGGGAATATCTCACTTGTGCAAATTTTCTGTTGACGACAAAAATAACTATATTTTGTTCATCATTAAGTTCTTCAGTTCGGCCTATCGTGAAAATAAAGAATACAGTATAACATATTATGCCTTCAAACGAACTTTCATACATGGAGTGATACGAAAAGCGCTTTACGTTCGAAGGTTGGGACAACGGTTTGTAGGAACAAAATGGCAGGAATGAGGAAAATAATAATTTTAATCTGCCTTCCAGTGTTTTGTTACATGGTCTTCAAGGAAAATTCTAGCATTTCGTTAGGGATGAGACATGGCCATTTTTACACACAGTCCGGATATTGTAAAACATTCGATGTCTCGCTTTTTCAAGCGCAAAAAACTCTTAAAAATTTAATAAATATTTTGTACTGTATTTCCATAGATTCCATCAACACCAATGCTAAAGCAAAGCTCCACAAACAATTTAAGGCTTACATAACTATGATTTGTCGATTCGGAATGAATACGTTATTTCGTGAGTAAATTTTGATGGTCCAAATACAGAATTAACAGATTAAGTCCAGTAAATGCTAAACCATAAACGAACAAATTTTTCAACCCGAATTCACGTAAGGAAAAGCATTTGAATTTACGCGGGAAATTAGTAAAAGATTTTTTTTTACCAACAAATTCGAGATCTTGGAAACAAATTAAAATTTTTGCAACTTATTCTCAGGGGAAATCTTGCTCCGCATCATGAAAAATCCGCAGAACGAAACACATCCAGGAATGCATTAGTTTCGTTATGCGGGCACCTACTGTACTGTTTATCAAAAATTACTGCAATTTTTTCAAGAATTTTACATTAAAACCGGTTGAAAACAATATATAAATTAAGTAGCATTTATCCCTCCCAACTACGCTCAAGAACCCAACACAGTTTCATTCCCTCGTACAGTACCGGACGATTTGATCCCATCACAACCTTCTCCTAAACTTTAATTTTCGACCCTTAATATTTCCATTGCGCGTGTTGACGGGTAACAGTATACAGCAACAGCGTAATCAGAAATCCCGACTCAATTGCCTCGGCAACAAGCATCGCTGCTTTAGAGATTCGAGCTCGTACAAGGCCGTGCAACCCACACCTGCTAACCCAAGCAGACTCCGCGACGCCAGATGCGGCCAGTGTGGTGAGGAAACCCGAGCCTGAAGCAGGAGGAAAAAGGCAACCTTACTCACGCAACACGGTTCCTCACGCAATCATGCATCGAGTCCACGGCGTAACTGAACTCCGGGGAACGATCCGATCCTCGAACCCGAGGCAACAAAACGCTCCAGGAAACC